ACGATATGAGGTTTTGGCCATATTGACTTGATCCCTTTTTCAAAAGATGGCTCAAACCATTCTAATTTTCCTATTTCGTGTATTAAGCACTGAAGAAGTACAGTAATAAGCTTTATAGACAGTTTACACGTTCGTTCTTAAGCTTCGTTAAGATAAGCTTATCAGAACTATGGAAACAAAAAACTAAGTCGTTCAACTTTGCAATCCGATATATTGACAAAGTGCTGTCTTTAAATAACAAGAAATTGTCTGACCATGTCGATCGTATATAACCCTCCTAAGCTTGATATTAATGACACTATACAGACTCTTCTACTTCTGGCGCTTTCCTCGATCTCAGTAACGTTCTAGCACCATGACCAACAAGGACAACGTTACTACTAAACGGGTCGATTTAGATTTTCCAATTTCTTGATAGTAACATCCATAATTCTCAAACGTACAGTGTTGCATTTGCAGCTGATTGGGTATTCACGAGCTTTCTCTGATTATTATGTATTCATTGATACACGTCGAACGTTGACAGACAAACTTACAACACAGGGTGTCCAAAGAAACCAATTGATGCTTACTATGGACAATTTTTATGGTCGTCTTCATGATTTCTTGAGGAAAGACATGTACAATGTATGCCATTTTCTTGTGTGATACGAAGGCTGTGATTGGCTATATTAAACAACACATCGTCTGCGCAACTGAAACGCGATAAACTACAACGCATAAAAACCGGCAAGCTATAAGGTGACCTTCACATTTAAAATTGAATTAAGTATTTCTCAATAATCACGTTGAAAGAGCTTACACGAAGGAAGTGTCCTAACACTTGTTGAGGACAACATAGCAGCTAGTGACCAACTGTGAGATCGAATTGTTTAAAATGAAACTTCCGAGAAATGAAAAAAAAATACATTTGTTTCAGAAGTTCTATATGCTCCACAGAAACAAAGGGGACATAAACTATGAAGATCCTTAACACATCTGTTCACACTGTTCAGCATCTCAGATCCAAAAGTACTGTTTTAGTCGTGGACTTCAAAAGTATATGTGAACCACAGAGAAGACAGTATATAGCACTACAGTTATTAGTATACTTTGCCTCTCAGACCATTTGATAAATCAACACCAACGACATGAATTCCAAATAAACAGGATTGCACTAAAACTTCAACGGACACTATTTCTACGGAAAACAGTTACATGTGCATTAAATCATAATCAGTTCGAGAAACTTTTAAAAATGGAATTGTTGATAGTACATGTTTGAACATGGAGAGGGAGTTGATGATGTTGTATGTGTATGTTTGAACTTGTGATCAATCCTATTTCTACTTTCATGACCATAAAATATATTTAAACTTATATTGATTATGTAACCAGGAGAGGAAAAACGCACATCCATAGCGTACTGGATTTGAACCCGGGAACCTCCGAAATCTAAACGGACGCTCTTACCAATTGGGCCACGTACATGTGTATACATGTACCGGAGGCCTGCTCGTTTATGCGAACAACCGGTTTGCCTGTAAAAGGTCAAATAGAAAAACGATTAATTGTTATACAAATATATGAACGTACATAGTTTACACATTATACCAGACAGCTCATTAGTATAAGGTATATTTATAACTCTAAAATTGCTGTGGGGTAATAGAGGGTTGTTGGATCCATTAAAGTTAGAAACAAAAAGCCACGGAGTTAATAAGAAATAAACTAAAATTATTGCCATTAACACCGAGATCGGGGTCTCCGCATAGAAGGTAATCAACAATCAGATAATTTGGATAACACCATATGTAATCAAGTAATTTTAAGCTGTTTCGTGGAATGGTGTATTTCGACAATGAGGAAAAAAGTTCAGAGTTCTCATTTTCATGTCGCATTCACAGTTGGGATGTTGACTAAGCTTGCATTGAAGAATTAATTTGTATGCCGGCAGTAGACAATGAACAGTTTCTTTGTCCATATTCATAGAAAGCCTTGTGATGTTTACACCGTGGTTTTATGTTAAGGACGGCTTTCTTCCCAATGATCAATTTTGCATCATATTGCATGACTATAAGTAGCAAAATTGAACAATAAAGACATACTAGAAAGATAAATCTAGCCTACAAGGTTTATATATATATACATAATTTAATTTAAGTTTCGATATATATATATATATTATTTATTTTTTGTTTATTTTTTATTTGTTAATAAAAAAATGAAATTGCTTATGCGGAAAAAGAAGAAGATCTATATACATAAACAAATGTAAGTACACGCTCTCTTTTCTTTTGCAACACGCATAACATAATGTACATGCATCTTGTTTGTTTTGTCCTTTTTAATGCGTTTCTCTTTTTTTCTCTATCAAGGTAGCAATAATGCTATGTCTATATACACAGAGAACAGTCCAGCACCACAACAGTCATACACTACAGCACAGGTCCGTTGATCTTGGAAACAGATGAGAGCAACTGGCTGCACGAGATGATCTCAGCCACAAACTTGGCCCACAGCTGGAATATCCTCCCCTGGAAGACCCGTGTTGAATGGAGCTGTAACCGAGACAACGTCCCCTCCGCTACCATCTGTCGCTGAAGCGGAAGCTTACAGGCCTCTTTGTGCAACCGCGGCGCAATGACGTAGAACGGCGGTGTGGCGTCTCTTGCAGCATGACTGTGCCGCCCGTGCCATCCCTCGCAGTCATTGTTCGTCCTCGTCCGGACGCCGAAGACTTTCCATGTCGTCAGTGGGAACGCGGTGCTGGAAATGTAAACACATTCACAGTAGATTGCACGTTTAAAATTTACAATTTGCCCCCCAAAATATACACTGCATCTGACACTCTGGGCGCTGGATTACCGCAGTGCTATCAAGCACTACTGCTCAGTGGTTAACTGTCAGCTCTTCTCCTCTCTCTTGATCCACAGCCAGCTGGATATGCTTTTTTTGCTGACTGTCCAAGTATCCCAACAGCTCGCTTTCTATCGTCTCCTTTGATCCCTATAGGGCACTTAGCATTATCCACACATATTGTGAGGGGATCCTCTGGCGCCAATCTCAATCTCAATCAGCCATATGTTTTCCAACTGCAGCTTCTGCACGGGTCTAGCTCGATATACTTGGCCTTCTTCCGCTCATATGCCGTGTCACACCTCGACTCCCATATGGAACAGTGAGTTCTATGGTCACCTGCTTCTTGTCTTCAGCAGACCATATCAAAATGTCTGGCCTCTGTGTGGTCTGGACAATCTTTTGGAAGATCAACTTCTTCTCAAAGGCGATCCTCATCTACCACTGGTCGGGCTCGTCTAGGATCGAAGTGGTGTTTGAAATTGGCGTCTCTCGATCCTGCCTTGACGAAGTTGATCATGGTGGGTGCTCTCTTCTAATCAGGGGCGTAACAAACGAGTTTTCAATGTGTAAGCCCAATGATAAATTGTGCTGCCGAAAGCAACACACCGAAGCGCGCAGCGCGAGGATGGGGAAGGTATGGGAGACAGGCGCGTAGCTGGGTTTTTTCCTATGTGCATGCAGAAAGTCGCACCGAAGGTCCGAATGCGAGCGCCGAATGCGAGCGCCGAAGGCGCGAAGCCATTCTAGGGGGGTACGGGGGCATGCCCCCCGGATTTTCTTTTAGATCAAGAAGCTCTGTCGTGCCATCTGGTGGCTTTTTAGATACATTTTTGAGTGTTTTAATTATTTTACAGACAACATTTTTTGGTTGATTCATTCACTTGGTTATTCGAAAGCATCGCAAAAAATCAAATGTATTTCAAATGCGAAAGACAGCTCTCCTTTTTTTCTCCGGCAAAAATGTGTCGATTGTTGGAATTCCTCGAAAATATCCGTTGCGTCATACCTCTTTCCTGATGAATCTAAATTAACTAGATATTTAAAATGTCGGAGCCAACATGAACAGATTATTTTCAGATTTTTTGCTGTTGTGTCCCCCAAACCCTTTTTTATATCATCAACATTTCTCAGAACATAAGATGACGGTAGCTCCTATATCGATGTTTAGATATATGTATACATATATATCCAGGAGCCCTACTGAAGATAGACCTTGGACTACTCTTAAAAACATACTTTATCAGTTCATGACAGGGAAAAATGAATGTATCTAACTACATGTATCTATGATGTGAAATTCTCAAATGTCACAGATTAGCAAAAGCTAGGGGGTCTAACCATTTCCCATCGATGTTGGTCTGGGGGGTCTCCCCCAGGAGAATTTTGTTTTCTAGAACGCCTGCAGCTGAGACGCGTTCTCCCGTGTTCTGGCAACAGTTTCAATGGCCCTTTTAAAGCAAGAAAATATTAGTTTCCCCTATTATTTTACAAATGTTTTGCTTTTTAATATTTTATATCATATTGTCTTTGTCGCTTTTTTATTATTAAAATGATGTGTAAGCCCGGGCTTTTTGGCTACATAGGTTGTTACGCGCCTGCTTTCTAGTTCTTTTCTTCCTTTTCTCTCGCTCCAGTGTGTCTGCTAACTCCCTAAGGACTGTATCATGCATCCACCTGTATCGGTCCTGTGACTGTGTTAGTGAAGTCTGGCGCGATGACAGGACATGTTCCATATGGTACCTGGCTTGTCACAGAGTTGGCATCTTGGGTCATCTACTAAACCCCATCTGTTGAGGTTGGTTGAAGATGGCAGCAGATCATAAACTGGCATAAAAAATTGAGTCGCAGTGGCTCGTACTGACAAATGTCTGTCCAAGTGAACAGCTTCCGTTCTGGTGTGGTCCATTATAAGCTACTGTAGTACTAGTGGTTCCATGCACATTGTCCTCCCACTTCGACTGATCGAGTTCATCTGTACTCTTCTTGAACCCCCCCCCCCGTAAATAGTTATAATTAGTGTGTGTGTGTGGTTTTTTTTTTATCCCAGCCAGCCACAACCATATATCCGCGTGTCAATCAAAAATTATGTTAAAATCCTGGTCCGTATAAAAGTAGAGTTCCGTACTCCGTTCTGAGTTTTTATTTACTTAACGCTGAACTTCCGGTTTGGTCACGAGTGTGTAGTTTCGATTTGTTTTGTTTATATATATAAATAGGAGAAGTAGAAGGTGTTGTAGACAGCAGCGTGTTATCCACATAACAATGATAGGCAACGTTTCATTATCACTTGTTATAGTTTTTCTTATTTTGTGTTTTGTGAAAACTGTTAACGCAAAGCAGCCACATATTTTATTTGTGCTTGCAGACGACTACGGATATAATGACATTGGTTATCATGGATCGGAAATCAAGACCCCAAACCTCGACAAGCTGTCTGCTGAGGGTGTTAGACTGGAAAATTACTATGTACAGCCTATATGTACACCTACGAGGAGTCAACTTATGTCCGGGAGATATCAGGTATTATTATATATTTCTGTCATAGTGTAGTAGGCAGTCGCTGTCTCTGGGGGCTCGAACACGCAACCCTTGGCTCTCCAGCTCGATGCTCTACCGCTGAACTAAAGGGAAATTCCCCACCCCACAGCTGAAGCTTGTAAGGCAACCTAATCAATGCAAATCTTTAACACTACCCCCCC